AGTGTTCCATCTTGTTTCCCTTTGGGGTTCCTTTAGGTGATGTGGGAGTCTAGTTTTGAGATTTGTTTATGTGTCTTCTCATTTCCAACTGGGGTGTTTGTGTGTGTGTGTGTGTGTGTGTGTGTGTGTGTGTGTGTGTGCTGCTGGCGACTGCGCGGCTCACCTCCTTTACGCTGGGGGTGGTGGTCTGGCGACCTGGAAAGCTCACCTCCTTGGTGCTGCAGGGGGAGGTCCAGTGGCCTGGAAAGCTCACCTTGGAGCAGAGCATGGCTCTGCTCCTTGGCACCCTATGTTAGACATCTTTCCATATATTGCCTATTTGTATATAGATTTTGTTACAAACATTAAACTATACCATTGAGATGTTACTTATGCTTTTATTAGGCAAGAAAAACTTTGACTATAGATAAATTGGAGCACTTGAAGTCTCAGCTGGATCTTGAAACTTATAGTGATCTCATTCCTCAACTGGATGAATTGATATTGAAATTTGAACCTTTGGATTCAGCTTGCAGCAGTAGAAGAAGCTCTATTTCATCACATGTAAGTATTCTCACTTTTTTTTTTTCCAGTACTAGGGATTTGCACAGACCTATATCCCCAGGGCTTTTAAAATTTTTATTTTGAGAGAGGGTCTTTCTAAACTCATTAAGTTGCCCATGCTGGGATCGTCATGTCTCAGCCTTCCAGAGTGTTGGGATTACAGGTGTGTGCCATTATGCATGGCTGTATTTTCACTTTTTTTTTTTTTTTTTTTGTACTGGGGATTGAACTCAGGACCTTGTGCTTGTGAGGCAGGCAGCAGAAGCACTGAGCTAAATCCCTGGCCCTAAAAAGGGTTTTGTTATAAAATAAAATTGCTTCATCTTAGACTCATTTACCCAGAGAATCCTAAATCTTCCTTTGCGCATAGTAATTTTTTTGTTTTGAGAGTCAGCTTTCCATCACTATGACAAAATACCTGAGATAAACAACTTATAAGGAGGAAAGGCTTATTTTGATTCCAGGTTTCAGACCATGGTTGATTGATAGTATTGTTTGGGCATATGGTGAGGCTGGACATAGTTGTAAAGAGCATGTGGTAGAGCAAAAGCTGTTCCCCTCATGGCAGCCAGGAAGCAAAGAGAGAAACAGGACAAGGCTGGAGTCTAGAATTACCTTCAAAGGCATTGCCTTCACATCCCCATGACCTGACTGTCACTAGGCCCACCTCCTATAGATTTCACCCCCTCTCAGTAGTGTCATAGGTTGGGGACCAAACCCTCAACACATGGGCCTTTAGGGGACACTTAAGATCTCAACTATAGCAGAGGGCCTTCCTTTCAACTTCTGGATAACTAGATGAAACCTAGATGTGTCAAGGCCACATTTGTTGTTTTATCATTATTTGATATTTTCTGTTCTTAAATATACCCCATATAACCTCCAGCACAAGTTAGGCTGCTCCTAATTTGTGGTTTCAGATGCTTCATGCTAATCTGAGTCTCAGTACAGCTCAGACTTGTCTCATTTAATCCCCATTCTGACTGCCACACTTTATGCAGACAAGCTAGAGAAATATGCAGCATGATGCCACAAACTCAGGTGAGACATCAGCTGCCAGACACATTTTTCACCCAACATAATTGTTCTTACTGACTTTCTACTCAGTATTGGTGTTTCTCTGTAAAAAGTCTATTATGTTACAAAGGAAGATTTTATTTTGTTTTGTTTTTCTTTGGAATTTTTTTCATTTTTAGGAGAGTTTCAGCATCTTGGACTCTGGTATTTATCGTATCATTAGTAGTAGAAGAGGCAGTCAGTCAGATGAAGATTCTTGCTCCCTTCACAGCCAAACCTTCTCGGAAGATGAGAGACTTAAAGAATTCACCTCACATCCAGAAGAGGACCAGCCAGGTCAGGATTGTGGCTCACAGGGAAATGAAGGCGATGAATATGTCTCCTATTGGTTGCTAAAGATAAGCAGTTACTTTCTGAGTTCTTCTTACCAGGATTGTCTTAGGCTTAGAGTTTCTATAAGGTGTGAATAATTTTTAGCATGGTGATAGCTTTCCATCCAGGCCTATAGATCTGCTGACTATAAAAGAGTGAGTTTACATTGAGTTTTTGTTTGTTTTGTTTTTTAACTTCACATTTGAGCTAACATTGAGAGAGCACCTGATTTTGGTCATGTATTAAAATACTGGAGAGATCAAGAAAGCTTATTAACCAAAAGAGTAGTATCTTCACTAACCAAATTATTTTCCATCAGGAATGAAAAATTGCTACTGCTTTGGGGGCCATTGCCTTCCCTTTACAATGTTCAACTATTCCGGTGACTGAACTGTTAAGAAGAGAGTATTAGAGACTTTAAACTTCCTTTTTGACTTATGGGGATTCAGGGTTAGTAGGCAAATGAAGGTACCTGCCTAAGTGTTTTATGTGGATCATCGTGTGCATCTTGTAAATCTGTGTTCTGTGCTCATTTGTATATGGGTCAGTGTGATTTTGGTTTGAATTCTTCATTTCCTTTGGTTAATTCATTTCAGAATTCCTTTAAAGTTTAAAAAACTTCCATGTGATTAGATTTTATTTTTTTCCCTCCTGATTTCATTCATTAGACAATGTTTCTCATGTTCCAGTGACGTTTGAGACAGATAAGAATGAAACTTTTCTCCCCTTCGGCATTCCATTACCATTTCGTTCTCCATCTCCTCTTGTATCTCTTCAGGCTGTCAAAGACAGGTAAACCAATTAGTTTTGTCAACTAATCTCATTTCTGATTTTACTTCAGTTGTCATATTACTTTGTAGTAAGAATGGAAAGACATTTTCTTTTTTTGGAAAGACATTTTCAATGAAATAGAAAGTCTCTAAGTTATTTCTCCTACAACCTGTTATGTGAAGCTTATTTAATTTCTTATTTAAACCTTGGGGATTTTGGCTTTATTCTTTGTTTGGGGTAGCTGAGTATTTGAGTTGTAGATGTGGCCCTTCTTTCCCAGAAAGAACAAAAATTTAAGTCTGTTTTTTTTCTGGAACCCTGGAAGGAACATTTTCCATGCATTTTTTTTTTTTTTGGTACTGGGGATCGAACTCGGGACCTTGTGCTTGCGAGGCAGGCGGCAGAACCGCTGAGCTAAATCCTTGGCCTCCATATATTAATAGTCATTTATTGGTCCATTCACAGTTTGGGGTCAGAATGGAGAATTAACAGATTCTTTGTACCTATACCTTAGTACCAGTATTGGCATTTGAGTCTGAGAAAGCTTTATACAGCTATTTAACTGCTTATCTGAGTTTTACTGGATACAAATTTGGCTTTTCTGAAAGGTTATATTGTGAATAGTTAGGAGCAAAGTTTCATGAAGAAATTCTTTGTTATTCTCTGACCAGGATGGGGTTGATGATCACATGGCTTATGTTGCCTAAGCTGACAGAAACATCAGAGACACAGCTAGAGTTAGTCTTTCTCTTCAACACTGAATTATTGGTTTCTTAGGGCATATTAGTAAATGAAGTGAATCATATTGTAAGTTTTTTATGGGCCTTATGTGAAATGTATAGGTGATTAGAGATACTGCTATCAACAGAGGCTTTCTTTTTATTAAGTCCAAGCTGACTTCCTGGGACTAAGAGAAACACTGAAAACTCAGGTACTTAGCTTTTTATTCTTGCCGGTAATGAGATTTTTTTTTTTTCATGTTTTTTGGTATTTGATTTCCAGTGTTTCTAGCTTTGTGCGTAAAACTACTGAGAAGATTGGTACCCTTCACACAAGTCCTGAGCTAAAAGTGAGACCAGAACCCAGGGATGAAGATCAGTCTTGCGAAGAGGAAGTGAGTTCAGTTACATGCCCACAGGAAGAAGTCACTGAGTAAGCCCTCATATACAAATCTGTCCATTCTAGAGGAACTGGCTCTCAATAGAAAGAAGGCCATGCACCGTGTCCTGTTGGAGAAAGCACACGTGTGCTCCCATCCATTGAAGGTTATTGTGTAGCTCATAAATATTGTGAAATCCACAAAGTTTTGAAAAATTACATCAGGGCCGGGGATTTAGCTCAGTGGTTTTGCTGCCTGCTGCACAAGCACAAGGACCTGAGTTTGATCCCTGGTACCAAAAAAAAAAAAAAAAAAAAAGAAAAAGTACATCAACCCATAGCTAAGCTGCTGGAACAGAGTTTTAATTTTTTTTTCCTGATACCAGAGATCAAACCTAGGACCTTGCAGTTGCCAGGCAGGTGCAGTGCCTCTGAGGTACATCACTGGCCCAACAGAGTTTTAATTTAGTATTTCTTCCATCTTTCTCCTGTATAACCCTCCGCCCTCCACCATAATCTTGTCAGATTTCCAGGAAGGCAGAATGGTAGTGTTAGAGTAGCTGACCAAGGATCTAGACCTTGTGCTATCTGAGTAGCATGTAACTTGAAGCCATTAATGCTCTCTGACTTGTAAGATCTGGGATATGGTATTGTTTGGTGAGTCAATAAAGGGAATATTAGGAGGATAATGAGAAAGAAAAAAGGACCCCTTAAAGCAGTGTAACATGTAGCATGAAATACAATACCTGCTAAACTAGTAAGCGTGTAGAAATGCTTATCTAAGAAAGATCTGATCCCTGGTAACTCATGTGACTATTGTATTTTTCACATTTTTCTAGGGAGAAAAAAGAAGTAATTAGTCAACCCCCAAAAGAAGACAGGTTCCAAGAGCTCACAGCAGCAACAGCAGAAGCAATGTGAGTGTGGATTAGTTTTATAGTGAAGTGGGGTGGCCTTCGGACATCATCAGTAGTGGTCCTAAGCTTGGGACAGAGATGGCCGCATTTGCAATTGAAATTCAAGAATTAGTAACAAAGTGGAAAATCAGTGTTTCCTATTTTATGGTCTTGCTAAAATACTTGTTTTTTTTTTTTTTGGTACTAGGGATCGAACTCTGGACTTTGCACTTGTGAGGCAGGCACCGGAACCAATGAGCTAAATGCCTGGCCCTAAAATACTTGTTATTTAAAGAATTCAAAAGAAACATTTTTCCAGATGTGTATGTTGGGTTTTTTTGGTACTGGGGATCGAACTTGGGACCTTGTGCTTGCAAGGAGGATGAGTATGTTTTATTAGTTAAGTTTGGTTAGCGTGAAAGAATTTATTTAAAAAAAAACATGAAGGGCCGGGGATTTAGCTCAGTAGTTCCTCTGCCTGCCTCGCAAGCACAAGGTCCTGAGTTCGATCTCCCGTACCAAAAAAAAAACCATGAAATCTAAATTTCACCTTACTTGTTTTACACAGGACCAAGCTACTGGACCCTTTGGTTTTGTTTGAACCCCAGTCTCTGAGAGTGGTTTTACAAGAGTGGCTTTCACACTTAGAAAGGACATTTGCCATGAGAGACTCTCCAGGCACTTCAGATACTGGCAACTCACTTGTGAAACTGAACCAAGATGAGTCAAAAAAGAGAATAGTGGGTGAAGATAATGAAGGAGAAAAAAGGGACTCTTTAGACAATGAAGAAACTGTTGACCCAACAGCGTGTGAATCCATAAATAGTCCAAGGGAGCCCTCGGATGATGACCTTTTCCAAGTGTGTTCCCCATGCGCCATACCAACCAGTCTTCAGAAGGACCTGGCTGAGTTGACAGCATTGTGTTTGGAATTGAACGTTTTGAATTCTGCTATCAAAAGCACGGATGGACATGCAGACCATACTTTGCAACAGTGTTCACCTGAAATTCTGGCTTGTCAGTTTGTAAAGAAGTACTTTTTTCTCCTGGATTTGAAAAGAACAAAAGAGAGTATCAAGCTTAGTTATACTAGCAGCTCCCGTATTTGGGATACTTTCATTGAAGGATTGAAAGGTAATAGTCAGATGGCCTTATCAAAGATAGAAATTAATATAGAGACCAGAATAACTGTGGAAGTTTGAGGTTTAAAAGAAGATTTATGTGGGCCAGGGATTTAGCTTAGTGGTTCCGCTTCCTGCCTCACAAGCACAAGGTCCTGAGTTCGATCCCTGGTACCAAAAAAAACATTTAAGTAGAAAAATCACTCATGTTCTGGTCAGCCACCCATTCTGTTTGTCACTCATTTTAATTTTTTTTTTTTTCGGTCCCAGGGATCGAACTCAGGACCTTGCACTTGCAAGGCAAGCATGGTGCCACTGAGCTAAATCCCCAGCCCCTCCTCATTTTAATTTTTTTTTTTTTTATGATACCGGGGATTGAACTTGGGTCCTTGCGCTTGCGAGGCAGGCGGCGGAACCACTGAGCCTCATTTTAATTTTTAACAGTTGTTTAAACGTTGGTTGAATTTGTAACTCTAGTATAAGAAATTAGTTTTATTTTTCTCACAGTCACATTGAGAAAATGATATAGCAATGTTGAAGCTATTGGGGTTAGAGTAAAATATTTATAAATGCAGGTATATACAAATAAAATCTTTCATGTAACTTAGAAATATGGAAATAATACTGTGTATACCATATATCGAGTATACTTTGTGCCATATAAAATAGTAAACAGTTTTTAGGCATTATCTCATTTCATCCTGCCAACAATCTTTAGCATAGATGAGGAAACTGAAGCACAGGGATAACATTAGTTGGGTGGACTAACGTCTGTAATATCTCATTATATAATAATTCAGATATAATAAAAGTTTATTTCTTGCTCATATAACAGTCCAGGACAGCTGTTCCAGGTCAGTTACATGTCGTCATAGAGCATTTCAAGTTCCTTCTATTATTTTAAGCTCTGTCCCCCTTTTGGGCTTGTTGTTGAGGTTGGCTTGCTGTGTCCAAGGGAAGGCACATGAATATGCCCTCTGACAGGCCTGGCTGGTAGCAGGTTACCTCTTGTCTATTCATGTTCCACTGGTGAGAATTCTTTCACACAGCCCTACCGGACTGCAGACCAGACTGGGACGTGTAACCTATCCAGGTATCCAGGAGGAAGAGAACAAATATGGGGGAAAGCTAGCGTGTCTGCCTCAAAAACTGGTGCTCAGCCAGCAGTAGTTTACCTCAGGCTTGACTGGAGGTCATACTGTTTGTCATTCTGACATAGACACATGTTGCCATAGACACATTCCCTTTCTACTTTCTATTCCTTTTCTACTTTCTATTGCCCTTTCTGCTGCCATGTTCCTGTTTTTGAAGAGGTAAATTTTCTTCAGAAAATTTATAAATTCTTTCGAATCTTGTTTTTGAAGAGATGAATATTTACTGCTTGAATAACAGTAGCCATGTTTCCAATAACTGATTTAGACTGTACACAAAATTTTCCTTCATTACCAAAGTGAGTTGCCACAGATGGAAATAACACTTTTATATTATCTGACTTAGTGATCTTTTAGCTTTCTAGAAACATGATCTATAGTTATAATTCTGTTTCATTCCACAGATAGTAGTTAAAAAAAGCATAAGAAATGATTTTACATTATTTTTCTGAGTTGAGGTAGATTGCCTTTTATGTGAAATAAGAAACGAGTTATTTCTTTTCAAACAGGTTGAAGTATGTGACAGTATTACTTACTGGAAGTTAACTTTTTCTCTATTATGTGATCAGACCCAACCCAGGTCACAGGAGAGCAGCAGAAAGAGTCTGCATCAGCTGGAGTGGTGACTGTCACTTTGGCCAGTGCTGGCCAGAGCAAGGCCATAGGCATTTTGAGACAATGCACCTGCTTAGTTGAGTTTAGGTGATAAGTCTGGCTGAGCTCCCACCCAGGCATAAAGCTTTCCCTTGCTTGTCCAGCTCTCAGTGGTGGCCTCTTCATGGATTTGTTTTAAGTACTTATCATCTAACACAGTCAAATGGAAACAGTAAGAGTGGAGGGGGAAATGACATTTTTAAACACATGTATCAGAAACTGAAGGTTGGCTTTTTAGAAATGGTCCATTGAACAGCCTACCCTTCTAATGATGTAAGTATGAAAGACAGCTTTTGGTACTGATGTTTGGGACTTCAGAGCCAGTTGAAAACTACTTGAAAAAAGTTCATTTTACTTTAGATTCATGTCTTTTTTTTTTTTTTAAACCAGAAATAGTTCCATGCAGATTTTTCACTCACTTCATTCACCAGACTTGGCTTTACTTTTCCCCCAAAGTCAGCTGTTCCTTCAGAGAATGAGTATTTGCTATACTAAATTTTTTTTATGTTATGAAAAAATAAAACAAAAATTCGTAACAATAATAAGAGAATAACAATAATTAATGCACTGTGTAAGAGAAACACTTTGTCTATGTTTCTACTCTGAGGGCTATACTGATACTTTAAAAAACAGGTCAAGTATTTTAAAATTAATTTTGTTAAATTTAGTTAATTTAATTTAATTCTAAAAGATGAAATAAGGCTACTACTAGAAAAAAACAGAAATGTGGCATGGATGGTAGATATATAGGGCTTGTGAAATCTATATATATTTATCTCTAAATATATCATAGACATATATAGCTTCAGATACTAATTTTTAAGGGTAATATTTATGTATTCACTACCTGTTCCCTTGTCCTATTTAAAATTACAATATGCTTTATCTCTCAGTTTGATTTTAAGGTCCTTAAGTAGAGATTATATCTTGTTGTTTCTCTTTTGGTCTCTCCTACAATGCTTAACAAACAGGCCTTGAAAATAGAGTTGGTGTGCAAAGTAGGTATGTGACTAATGATTGTTGAGTGAATGTGTTCGTGAATTGAATATTTGCAGCTAAGAGATGAAGGGGAAAGGATGTGCTTTTTTTTTCAGAAATGGCCAGTTCTAACCCTACTTATATGGAGATGGGAGAAGGAGACCTACCAACAAGATTAAAGTTATTGGATGACTCCATTCCTTTTGATAGTCCTTTGTTGATTGCTTATGCCACCCGGTAGGTTTTCTACATGTTTTTTATAGGAACCAAAGCATGCATTTTTTTGTGTGTCTTAGTTTCTGAAATTTTAGTCATTTTCCAGTTGGGCAGCTTATTGTATATTTAGCTTCATTTCTGGTAAGTACTTAATGTAGCCAAGTTACATTAGCTCCCTGAAGTTGAAATTGGAGACTAATGTATTCTGTATTTATTTATTTATTTATTTATGATACTGGGGATGGAAGTCTTCACATAGAGCTACATATCAGCTTTTTTTTTTTTTTGGAGACACAGTCTCAATAAGTTGCTAGTTTCCTGGGCTGGGCTTGAATAATATGTTCTGTTGGGTTTTTTTCTTTTTTGCAGTATGGGGGATAGAACTCAAGACCTTACACTTGCCAGGCAGGCACGGTGCCACTGAGCTACATGCCCAGCCCTAATATGTTCTGTTTTAAAATGCAGGTTATATGAGAAGTTTGGAGAATCTGCCCTTCGATCCTTGATCAGGTTTTATCCATCCATTTTGCCTTCAGACATCATACAACTTTGTCGTCATCATCCAGCTCAGTTTCTGGCCTATTTAGATAGTTTGGTGAAATCAAGACCTGAAGACCAGCGGTGAGGAGAGCAGACTTACTGACTTGCCTTTGTTTGGGTAGTGCATGCTTATCGTTTATCGGCAGGTGTAACATTTTTCCTGCTAATTACCACAAGGTTGCATCACCTACTATGGAAGATGAGAGTTTGGGCAGTCTTGTACCATACTGCCACACTTCACAGCACACTCCACAAATGTGTATGGAGCACACTTCTTTACTTTCCCTGTCTGTAGGGGTTTCTCAGCTTATCGATGCAAAATTAAATCCTTGAATCAGGGCCTAGGCTAAAGCAGATAAGCTTCTTGTCTCTGACAGTGAGTGAATCTACTGTTTTCATTGGCAGTATCCCAGCTTTTTGGGGTGGATCTCAGCTTTAGCTCTTTTCCTCTTTCAAACTGATTCATTATTTTCTATCTCTCCATAGGTGGTTGCCACACTGATTTTTATTTCTTCTACTCCCATCTTTTGACTTTTTCCTTATTATCTTGCCTTTCTTTGGATAATGCATTATCTCATCAGCAGGGGTCCAGTTATTCATTTAGAATACTAAAATTTTCACCAGCATTTCTGGACATTTTTCTTTCTTTCTTTTTTTTTTTCCGGACTGGGGATTGACCTTGCGCTTGCAAGGCGGGCGCTGGAACCACTGAGCTAAATCCCTGGCCTGACATTTTTCAATAGATGAGTTTTCATGTTATTTTTATCTATTATCTTGATCCCCTAATCACACTTTCTTTATACCTCTACGCTTTATGTTTTTTCTCATGAAGATTGGTGATTTTTCTCCCCAATTTTCTCTCAGGTCATCTTTCCTAGAGTCCCTTCTGCAACCAGAGTCCTTAAGATTAGATTGGCTACTTTTGGCAGTGTCCCATGATGCTCCACCAAGCACCAGTACTGTGGATGATGAAGGGTACCCCAGGTAAGGAAGGAGTTCTTTTTCTATGCACTATGCTCTGCCATTGCTTTGGAATGCAACTGGTTTATTCGCAGCACGTGTACCATTCATACTAGTAATGAGATTATATGTACTTCTTAGTGGTTCTGAACATTTTTTGGTTACAGAGCCCATAAAAATCTGATAATTCCTTCCAGAAAAATGCACATTCACAGAACATTGTAGAAAGTTAAACTGATCTCCTTACAGCTGTCTCATTGACCCATATCAGAACCCTTAACGAGTGTTAGAGAAAGAAACCCATGTGTGTGTGTATTTTCTAAAAATATGTCAAAAGATTTCTAGGTATAACTGGATTTAGGATTTGAAAAATTGAATTTGCAAGAAATAAACACTGATACTTGTACTAAAATATTCATTCAGAGTAAGCTTTTGAAAAGCCCCTCCACAATACCCGTCTTGTTTGTCTTCTCCCTAGCAAAGGTCTAGAGGGAAATACAGTGGTTATGAGTGATGGAATCATTGACTTCTCTTTTTGCTTTTATTATTATTATTATTTTTTTTGGTATCGGGGATCGAACTCAGGACCTTGCGCTTGCAAGGCAGGCAGTGGAACCACTGAGCTAAATCTCTGGCCCTTCTCTTTGCTTTTGATTACCTAAAATATCTAGGGTTTTGTGTGTGTATGTGTGTGTAGGGGACACTAGGGATTGAACCCAGAGCATCTACCGGGCTAGGCAAGCACTATCCTGCTGAGATATATCTCCCTAGCCAATAAATTTCTAGGCTTCTTTTTTTCCTTTTAGGACTGGGGATCCAACCCAGGGGCACGTTATCACTGAGCTATACCCTAACCTTTTTATTTTTCATTTTGACACAGGATCTCTCAGTTGCCCAGGCTCACCTCAAATTCATGAGCTTTCTGCCTCAGCCTCTTGAATAGCTGGGATTATAGGTGCCATGGTGCCCAGCGAATTTTTACCTATTTTTTTAACATTAAGAGATTATAGGAAAAAGAGCTATTTTTAATTTTTCACAAGCCAAATAGAAATGTTAGGGAAATATAGTAATAATAGAATATAATTAAACTGTATTATTACCTATTAGGTGACTAATAAGTACTTTGTAGAGATTATTTCCTATCTAATTTACTAATATTTTCATTATACAGGCCTCATTCGCACTTGTTCTCCTGGGGTTACAGTCAACTGATCCTTTATCTAATTAAACTTCCTGCAGATTTTACAACCAAAGAGAAAATGACAGACATCTGTAAGTCTTGTGGGTAAGTGAGGATTTCCACAGAAACTGAAGTTAGGATTAGAGTTATTTCAGTTGATAACTTCAGAGTTAAGGCCTGAAGTGATGTCCTTTATCTTTTGGCAATTCAGTTTCCTACCTACAGGTAAACATACCTTTGTGTTTTAATAGAGTATAGACATCTTTTTCATTTTAAATTTTGTGCATATTTTTTGTGTAGGAGAGATTGGCCCCTGCTAATTTCATTCCATGCCTTCTGCTCAGTTGCCAGCCCCTGTTTTCAGGCCTGTAGCTAGAATTGAGTTAAGCACTGAATATCAATTGCTGTGGATAAAGGATTTCTGAGAAGGGCAAGGGAGGAATAGGCTCAGCAGAATCACTGGTGAAGGACTCAGGGACAAGCTGAGACTCTGGAGGTACAGTGAGCCCTGCAGGTTGGGTAGGATTTGTGTCTGTAAAGGAGCTAGGTACAGGGCAGGTCAGATGAGAGGAACATTTCCAGAAAAGGCCCGAAAAGCTGACACTGCTTATTATCCACATCACTTGTGAGGAGATTATTTATTATGTAGACGTTGTCCGTGGCTTTACGTGGATTATAATGGTTTGCAGGGACCTGTGTCTTTATTTCCCTCACAGTGTCTCACTCATACAGTGGCAGGTGTTTGATACATATTTGCTCACTGATAACGAGGATGAGGCTGGCCAGGAGGTGGGCGATGAGATCACGGGGGACCTTGAAAGCTGGTCAGACGTGTTTATTATCAGCAGAGACCCTTTTTGGTTTTGTGGTCCAGCAGTGACATAATGAAAGCGGAGCCTTCTGGAGCTCACTTCTGTTGTCACACACAAAGGTTGGAGGCAGGAAGGCCTGCTGGGAGGCTGTTGTGTTCATTCAGGAATGCGTGAATTGGTAATGAGCCGGGCTGAAAAGGAGCACACCAAGGGGATCTCAAGGAAAGTGCCGTGGGACTTGCTGTCTAGCCATTGAAGTAGAAGACTCCAGGAGAATTTCCATGGTTTGCATTTTTGGAGAAGAAATATACTGATTATATGTTGAATTGTAAAGTTTATAAAGTACACAAAAGTCAAATGGTGTGTAGTCTTAAATATCATTTTTTTTGGTGGGTACTGGGGATCAAATGTCATTTTTAAAAAATGCTCTAGATCAAGATTGTCTAATAGAATTTTCTGTGATAATGGAAATGTTCTACTGCATTGTCCAGTAAGGTAGCCACTAGCTGTGTGTGGCCGTCAAATGCTTAAAATATTGTCAGGTCAACTGAAAAATTGACTTTTAAATTTTATTTACACTAAGTTCTCCATTCTGGGAGAATGTTCGTAAGTCAAATTCATTTGTAATCCCACAAAATGAGTCTTGTACAGTACAGCTGTGAATCTTATCTAGTGCACCTGTGAAAGTCCGCAACTCAAATGTTCCTAAGTTGGGGACTTACTGTACTTGTAGTTAATTTAAATTTAAATAACCGTATGTGGCTAGTGTCCAGTATATTAGACAGCATACTTCAGATACATGAACTGCCTCCAACTGTGGTCTTTTTAAAGTTTCTGGCCTGGATATCTAACTCTGTGCTGGGAGCTGGAGAGAAGAAGAGAGGCGTTTGCCAACATCGTGTATCTGAATGATATGAGCCTGATGTCAGGGGACAATGGTGCGTATGTCCCAGTGGATTACTCTTGCAGGTGGTATTTTACAAGTCTCTCTAGACTTTTTCATAAAGAAATGTGGTGAACGTCTTCATGATATGTGTATAATTTTAGCTCATTGTCATATTGGGGGAATTTAAAAATGTATACCTTTGATATATTATGCGATCTTGCCTATTGAATGAGTGTCTGCTGCATCTTAGGCATGTTGCCGTGCATTTTTCATATACTGTTTTGGAATAGCTACTGTGAAAACACCAGGCCCAGAAAGGGCACCTAAGTACCCAAAAGTCACAACTAGTATATCCTACAGCTGGCATTCAGACCCAGGCCTGGCTCCACAACTTGTGCTCTTTACTTCATCATGTTGCCTGAACAAATAGTCAAAAGTTAGGGCTCATTAAGATGAATTTAAAATCCAATAGCAGTCAGATTCCCTAACCCTTCACAGCCATTTGATGCTTTTAATTTATTTATTTTTTTTGGTACCAGGGATCAAACTCGAGTCCTTGCAGTTGCACAGCAGGCGGCGAAACCACTGAGCTAAATTCCTGGCCCTGATGCTTTTTATTTTTAAATTTCCATCAATTTAACACTGATGAGGGGCAGGACTTTGATGCACTGGTAGCTGAAGCCTGAGAGTCCGCGCTGCCCTCAGAGAGGTGTCGTTGGCCAGTGTCACAGTGTGGCTGGATTCTTCTCCATGCACAGGTGCCAACAGCATGCCCTCGGAGTCCCTCGCCTATCACAGAAAGACCCGGGGTCCCTCCCTGCAGCCTTCCTCAGCCCTTTGGTATGGGAGAGGGAAGATCAGACAGAGTTAGACAAGAGCCAGCTGACTGGTGAGGGTCAGCTCCAGAGATCTCTGTGTTACAGAACGTTTTGAAGGACTAGAACCATAGATATACATAGTCTCCTGAAAAGTAACCAAGGAAGATATAAATGGTTTGTATTTTGAAAGTCATAGCATATGTTTGCTATGGAAAAAATGAAAAATTCAGGAAACATAATGAAAATAGATATCAGCTAAAGTCTTCGTCACCCAGATAAAAGTACTTGTAATAAGGCCGGGGATTTAGCTCAGTGGTTCTGCCGCCTGCCTCACAAGCACAAGGTCTTGAGTTTGATCCCTGGTACAAAAAAAAAAGAGTTATTCTTACCCGTGATGTATTAAATAGGGGACTTCTCTTGATACTTCTGTCTCTAAATGAGGAGCATATTGATTTTATTGCCAAATATATCTCCTATCTCTTTCTTTCACTCTGCCACCCATCACCCTGATCCTAGCTACTTGCCTAGACTACTGAGCCACCTCATAACTGGATACCTGGCTTCCACGCTTGCCCAACTATTTTCCTCACAGTAGTCAGAATGGTTCTTTTAAACAAAACTTAAATTATGTGGCTTCCCTTGTCGAAACCCCTTGTGTTGAACTCAGAACAAAATTGAGATTCTTAACCTGGTGCTCAAGGACTGGCCCTGTCATCTCATGCTGGCTGCTTCCTACTCCCTTTATGCACTACAGGCTGAACCAGTTCCTTGAACTCACTAAGTTCTTTCCTTCTGCATTCTTGATACTCCCTGCTCCAGTGTATCCATTCTGTGGGCCACATCCCCATCTTCTCCGAGCAGTTTTCAGTTTTTTGCTTAAATGCCATCCCTTATAGAGCTTTTCTCAGGTCTTATAAACAAAAACAGCTATTCTCTCTCTCTTATTTTTATTCTTTTCTTTCATAGTATAGTTTTAGCACAGTTTGTAAGTATATATTTATTCAGATGTTTAAATTGTTACTAGACTGTAGAATGTCGGGATTGTGTTTGTTTTGTTCATCATTGCAAAACCAGTTCCCTTCACAGAGTATGCTATTGGTTTTTACTTGGTGAGTGAGTGTAAGAATTTTATGATTTTTGTGTATTCTGAACTATTTATTCATTAGATGTTTAGAAAGCTTTGTGTTAAGACAGTGAGATTGTTGTAAAGATATTTTTTAGGTTTCGGTATTAAATGTTTTCCTAGTTTTGACTACCTGTGTGCGGGCAGTAGCTTAGAGTGGTAATGGTATCACAGGCCTATCTTCCTAGCTATTTGGGAGGTGAAGGCAGTAAGATCACAAGTTCAAGGCCAGCCCGGGCAACTTAGTGAGATAACATCATAAAATCTTAAAAAAAAAATTTTTTTTGGTATCAGAGATTGAACTCAGACCTTGCTCTTGCAAAACAGGTGCCGAAACCACTGAGCTAAATCCCCAGCCCTTAAAATCTTTTTTTAAATGAAGGAAAAGAAAAAGCTGAGAATGCAGCTCTGTGGTAGAGTACCCCTGGGTTCAATCCCCAGTACCAACAAAAGAAAAAAAAAAAAAAA